ACTCCTGTCGCCTGCTAATCTCGATCGGCTTCTTCTTTTCGTAGAGTACCTCCAATAAAAGATTATATGCCATCCCTCGATAATGATGACATACGCACGCCTCTATTATCTTTTTAGGCGAAATCTCACGTTGAAGCGGAACTCGACAATCGCGCCTCTTTAATTGATTGGAAATCGGTGCGTATTGTCCTCTCACGACGTATTTCGTCACATTGACCGATGGATACGCTGTGACATTTCGCAATGGAGAGGATGTTAAATCATCCAGCGAATAACACCAACACATCTCATCGTCGTCGATCATTCGTGTCTTACATATCTGGCACCGATTCACCACTTTAACGGTTCTCGCCATCGTAAACACACGACAACAAATATCGCAATCAAAAATCGTCTCGACGACGACGCGTCAAACCTCTACAAAACAGGACAAGCGGGCATGCATTATATATCCTCATAGTCACCTAGACATAAAACATACCTAAGGCGATGTAACAAACCGCGACATCCCGCGCAACAAACACGAGATGCGCCTAATCGCGACGTACGAGACGCGTCTAATCGGAACGTTATGGAAAACAGACAAACCGCAACATCCTGTCAACAACGCGAGTCGCCTCGACGACGCGACTAATCGCGACGTTAGCGCTCAAGGCTACGCGAAAAGCGCTAGACCGCGCGAAAAACGCTAGGGCGGCCACCTCGACGGCGCGCCTAATCGGGACGTTATGGAAAACAGACAAACCGCAACATCCTGTCAACAACGCGAGTCGCCTCGACGGCGCGACTAATCGCGACGTTAGCGCCCAAGGCTACGCGAAAAGCGCTAGACCGCGCGAAAAACGCTAGGACGGCGTCGAGAACGCGCCCAAAGCTACGCGAAAAGCGCTAGACCGCGCGAAAAAAATGCTAAGACGTAACGCACCCAAAGCTACGCGAGCCCGAAAAAAAACACTAAGGCGGCGTCGATGACGCGCCCGGGGTTACCTAGCGGAGAAAAAACACTGGGACGCGTCCGAAAAAAAAACAAACGCTAGGGCGGCGTCGAGAACGCGCCCCGAAACAAACCCTAGAAACAAACGCTAGAAACAAACGCTAGAAACAAACGCTAGAAACACACGCTAGAAACATAGGGGGGCGTTGAGAACGCGCCCCCGAAACAAAAACGCTAGAAACAAACGCTAGAAACAAACGCTAGAAACAAACGCTAGAAACAAACGCTAGAAAAAACGCTAGAAAAAAACAAAAACGCTAGGGCGGCGTCGAGAACGGAAAACCGAACCGGGGAAACCCCGCGATCGCCTTATCGACATATCTGTCACGATGACCGCCAGAGGGATCCACCTTCTCTCTCTCCTCGGATACGAACCCTCTGAAGAAAGAGAATCATCTTACCGACTGAAAGAACATCTTACCGACTGAAAGGGGGTCCGAGGCCCCCTTAGAATCCTACGATTCCCCTCTCTCCCCGAACCTCCCCATGCCCCTGGGGGGCCTCGGCCCCCCTTTGTTATCCTACTATAATCTCCTTTTAAGTCGATACACTTTTCCCATTGATACTCTAACCTCTTTAATCCCTCCAAATAGTAGTTGGCGTCTCCGCAAAATAGGCGTTTACATATGCGATGACCTCCTCGTTCGATGAAAATCTTTGTCCTCCAAGCGACACTTTAAGCTTAGGAAACAGAAAAAAGTCGCTGGGGCCAGATTTGATGAATACGGTGGGTGGTCAACCAATTCGAAGTGCAGTTCGTGAATTTTGGCCATGGCGACCGCCGAAGTGTGAGCAGGTGCGTTGTCTTGATGGAACAGCACTTTCTTCTTCTTCAAATGCGGCCATTTTTTTTTGCAATTTCTGCCTTCAGCTTATCAAGTAATGATGCATAATACGCTCCCGTTATTGTTTTACCTTTTTCAAGATAGTCGATACACACAATTCCGTGACTATCCCAAAAAATAGTCGCCATTACCTTCCCAGCTGATGGAACCGTCTTCACCTTTTTTGGAGCAGGTTTCCCCCTTTGCAATCCACTGTTTTGACTGTTCTTTTGTTTCTAGAGTGTAGTGGTAGATCCAAGTTTCATCTACAATTATGAATCGACGCAAAAAATCTGACTCGTTTCGCTTGAACCGCTCCAACAGGGCCTTGGAAATGTTCATTCGAATTCGTTTTTAGTCCAAAGTGAGCAAGCGCGGCACCCAAAAGATGGACAGTTGAAGAACGCGTTTGTTATATATTGACTGAAGAAAAGAAGCGCAAGCTATCCGCGCATATCCAATTCTTCAGTCAATATATAACGCGTTCTTTCGATGCCCATAGCCTCTGCTATCTCTCTAACCTTGATTCGATGGTCGTCCAGTATCATTTGGTGAACATTTTCAATGTTATCAGCAATGGTCGCAATTTTTGGCCGTCCCGAATGCTCATCATCAGCCAAGCTGATACGACCACGTTTAAATTCAATTGCCCATCTTTTTACGGTGGCAAATGATGGGACAGAGTCCCCGTAAACAGCGTTCAACTCGATTTTAATTTGCGCAGGCGTATTGCCTTTCAAATGTAAGAATTTAATCACGGCGATATTCAATTTTTTCCATTTTTACAAAAACACTGACATCGACTGACACAAACGACTGTCAAACAACAACTGAGCGTCCAAAATGGCTGAAATTTTTACAAAAGTCTTTCAAAGCATATACTATTGTAGTACTAGAATGGTTTTGACGAGTAATGTCATCTTCATGTTAAGGCTCAAAACTTTTCAGACTACCCTCGTATATATACGCACACACACACACACACACACACACACACACACACACACACACACACACACACACACACACACACACACACACACACACACACACACACACACACACACACACACACACACAC